AAAAGACCTTGGCTAATGAAGGAAATGAGGTTACCCCAAGCATATGGAAGAAAATATGGAGTATTCAATGGGACAGATTATGCTGGTAAGTTTATCATTGATTCTCATGAGCAGAGAACTATGTATGGATAGAGGAATGATTAAGTAGAAAGTAAAATGGATCTTCTAAGATCTCAAAAGCAATAGCACTGATAAACTATAAACCCGCACACACACGCGTGCGTGTGCACGGATGGAGGAATGTTTTTTGAACCACTAACAAAATTAATTTTGAGACAACTAAAATCAATAGGCAGACAGAATTTCATGTGTGTATACTTATTCTGGGGTTTGAACTCAGGACTTGGGCACTATCACTGAGATTTTGTGCTCAAGGCTAGCCCTCTACCACGTGAGCCATAGCCCTATTCTGCCCCTGGAGCCCCAGTTCCACTCTCTGCTTTTTGGTGATAGACTTGGAGATAAGAGTCTGTGGGCTTTCCTGCCCAGGCTGGCTCCAAACCACAATCCTCAGATCTTAGCCTCCTGAATAGGCATGAGTCAACAGCACCCAACTTTGTCAGAAATTATTTTAAGCTTCCACTAAATTGCCAAATTAATAGACAATTGTTAAGTAATAGTGGAAATAAAAAAGGTCTCTAAATCTCTCAATTGAGATGATCAAGAAAGGTGCTACAGAATAAGAATTATAATCAGTTATAATCTTTTGTGTTTGACCAGTGACTAAGCCTCATGCTAACCTAAAAATCATTCCCTGGGCATTATTATGATTTCTGGGAAATGCAGGAGTGGTTGTTGTTCCATTGATTTAAGATCTTTTGCTCAATTGAAATTAGCACAATGGGCCATATGGGGAAGTATAATCCTTTGCTCCATTCATTGGCTACAGTAACACAGAAACCCTCTGTAGTTCAAAGCGTCATGAATAAAGGAAGTGGTAAAAGCAAAAGATGGCAGCCAAAAACATCACAAGAGAACTTAGAAAGACTGGATTGTGCAGGGCGTGATCTTAGCAGCCTGTAATCTTAGCTGCTCAGGAGGCTGAGATCTGAGGATCAAGGCTCAAAGCCAGCCCAAGAAGACAAACCCAAGAGACTCTTATCTCCAATTAAGCAGCAAAAGGCCAGAAGTGGGGATGTGGTTCCAATGATACAGTTGCTAGCCTTGGGCAAAAAGAGCCAAGCAAGAATGTGAGACCATGAGTTCAAGTCCCAATACTGGCACACAAAAAAAAACAAAATGGGACTAGATTTTGTCTTACAGAATGCCATACATTTATAATTTCAAGATGCAAAGGGTTACTAGATGACTTCATAGCACAAATAGCTTTCTTAAAACTTGACCTCATTTCAGCATTATTCACTATACTCTACATATTACCCAGAATGCTCGAAAATAGGGCATTCCTTGCCTTCCAGGAGTTTGTGTTCTAAACAAAGTCTAGAAAATTTATTTCCTCTTAAGACTGACAATATTTGCATTTGTCATTTGATTACAGGGCAGGGATCCATGAGAAATGTTCAGTTTACACCTTCAAAAGGAGGGGAGACAAATAACTAAAGCTGAACATGTAAACGTCATATAGAACAGGTCAATATGATCCCTCTCAGAGTAGTCCTCAGGTGAATTCACTGTGTATATAACAGAGCATTTTCAACAAGCTTATACAACGCTGCTATATTAAGAACTATGAGAGTATAAAGAAGTTTAAGACCATCTGATCCCTGTTCTTTCTTAAAGGCTCCTCCCCAATTCTCCCTCTCATTTGTCATTCCCTCGGAACAAGTACAGTAACAACTGTCGTGCTCAGGAAACTGCAGAACAAGCATCCATACCCATGTCAGCAAGTTAGTGTGAAAAGTATAGCAGACAACTCATCACTGTTTAAAATAATCCATCACTGATACCCTACTGGAACTATTCTATCACTTTCCAATAACCTTAGTAGTTACTGGATCATTTGCAATATTATATAAATTGTTCACATGAGAACAGTAAGACAAGTTCAAAATCATGCCCCAAAAAAACAGGAAAATAATTCCCTTTGCTAAAAATTCAATGCAATGGAGACTTCTTCAACCACATATACATATTAAAGGGTGTTTTATATTAGTTTCTATTAACCGGGATATCATGAATAATTATGAAGGTTTTTTGAAATAGAAGACCTTCAGCATTTGCTATTTAAAGGAAATTATTGACTGACTTATAAGAGGTAACTATTAAAAGGAAATGTCAGTAGCAGAAACTTGAGAGTTAATCATCTGACCAGCTGACCTGAAGATGAAAATTTGTTTGTGAGGTGAAAAATATACTCATCTGACATTTCAAACACATGACTTTTTATTCTTTTATCATACTGGGATCTTGAATGTCCCATCTTAAAAAATATATACTACTAACTTACCAGGAAACAATTCTTATACATTTCTGTCCATCCATATGCATGAGACTACAAATAATTGGGAAGAGTGAGAGAATCTTTGCAAAGGTTCTCTCTCCTTCTGAGATTTTAGTGGCCCCATTTTCTCATCAGATTACAAGATGAATACCTTTGTCACAAATACTTCATACATTATGCCAGTGTTATACAAAAATAAGTGGTATATCACCAAACAGAATTCCTAGAGTAGGCGTTTTGACTGTGTTGGTAAAGAAAGTCACTTCGTTTGAGAGATCTCTGCCCCTTCCACCTCTCCCTCCTTACCAACATGCATTCATCACTGAAAAGGGAAATATTTACAAAACCTAGTTTAGTTATGTTTAAATATTATGTTTAGCTGTCTGGAGACCATGTTCTCAAGATTTATACAAGAAATCAAGGATTAAACTTCATAACAATTAGAAAACTACACTGTGTAAAATCAAAGACTTAGTTAAAGGACATTAAAATAGTTTTTACCATCGGTGCTAAACTAAAATGACTCCATCTCTACCCAACACCTGGAACCAAAACCTTTTGAACTTTCGTATAAACAGACTAGGGCACACCAAATGTTCTGTCTGCTGCAAGGTACCACCGCTGCACAGGCATCTGAATGAAAAATGTGGAAAATGCCTGAGGACTCTTTGAAGGAGCTTGGGAGAAGGAAGGGCAGGAAAGAGGCTCTTCTCTAGAGTAAGTTTGTTTAGTGGAAAGTAAGCAAGTTGTCAGGGGAAAAGTTGACAATGTTGATTCCAACAGTTTGAACTGTGAATAAACATCCAAGGGGATTATGTTACTGAGAATTAGAAAAGATTCCATTGAACTCAATGATACACTTGTGTTTTCAAAGATAATATGCCTTCAGGCCATCATCTGGATTCACAATTTAGGGTTAGAATTACCCTAAGCCCTTCATATGCAACATTAAAGAACACAGGCTATGACCTCTCTAATACAAGTCTAAAAATATTAGAATATGGATGGGATAAAAATATTTCATATCCAAACAGTGAATTGGAAAATGACGTGTGTGTGTGTGTGTGTGTGTGTGTGTGTGTGTACACATTTTTTGAGATAGGCTTTTAAAAAACCTGGAGAAAAATTTAAGGAAACTCATGCATTGGCCATAAATAACTTTTAAGTTTTCCCTCATTAATTCCCTCTCAGAGAGAAAAAAAATAAAATAAAAGCAGAGGCCTGTCCTTAATCCTCTTCTCTGCCCAACAAAGTCACATTTTAAATCTGGCTTTCATCTCATACTGTTGGATTTTCTACCAGGTACAAGCTGAAAAGTTAGAAAAGTCAAGCTTTTCAAAAGCAAATCAATCTCGTTGCCACTCAGCAATTCCCGGTGACATGTCAGAGGAAGGCTATTTTTTTTAATGTTAAAATTTTTCTAACTTAGAGTTCACAAAAATAAGTATGAGATGTTCATTGCCTATTAGATATGCCATCTATTCTTCTTTTTTTACATATTCATAAATAAGAGAAAACATACTGTGACTTGTTAAAAATGCCTTAAGAGTTGGGCACCAGTGACTCACACCTGTAATCCTAAGGTACTCAGGAGGGTGAGATCTAAAGATCACGGTTCAGAGCCAGCCCAGGCAGGAAAGTCCCTGAGATTCTTATCTCCAATTTACCACCAGAAAATGGAAGTAGTGCTGTGGCTCAAAGTGGTAGAGTGCTAGCCTTGAACAGAAGAGCTCAAGGATAGTAATAAGGCTGTGAGTTTAAGCCCCACCACCACCACCAACAACAACAAAATACATTCAGAGCAAGATGCAGACCTGCTTGCATGATCTTTTTTAAAAATGAAGGTGATTTGCACTCCCCTCTTGGTTATCTCAAGTCCTATGTGACTCTCACATGAGAACCTGTGATTAGAATCTTTCCCACACCCTCACCAAAAGAGCATGTGCACCTCACAGGCTGTTTACTAGGAAAGTTTGCAGGTAGCCCTGCAAAAAAAAAAAGTTGTTTCTCCTTCTTTATCTGACACACCATTACTTTCCTTCCAGAAGCAGGGGTAGAAGAGAGAAGAGCACAGTCTCATGGCCTATTTGCTCCTAAAAAGAAAATCAAATTCCCAGGATATTTTCAGACATCATCAGGAATAGAACATTATCAGCTCTGCCTGAAGATCATTATCTATTTTACATTTCATCTTTATATTCACTGGGTTCATAGAAAGGGCATACACAGAAAGAGGAACATCGCCGCTTCTGAAAAGATACCAAATTTAGTAATCCTCTCAAATCTACTGGCACATGTCTAGAAAGTCATAGTTTTACAAGAATTCATTAGGTTTTCATTGGGTCTGTCTTTGAGAAAACGCATGCTGAATCAATCGCCCATAACTTCCAGCCAAAAATACATCTGCAAACTACAGGAAATATTTGTTACAGGAAAGATGAGTGTAATCATAATTAAAGGTATGATAGAGGTGGGTGGAGAAATACAAATGTGGGTTTATCTGGATCCCACACAAGGATTCCCCAATCCCAACGTGCTGATTGAGAGCATTCATCAAGATATAATGCTGAAAGAACCTAGCCGACTCCAGTAGCCTTACCTGTTAATATGAGATTGCTGTATGTGTTGGAAAATTGCTCCTTTAGAAGAACCAGATGCATCTGTGCTGCCTTCTCTCTTTGAAGCTCCAGCATAATATCAGGATGTTGTGCAATTTTACAGCCTTTCTGTTTATCCAGGGCAACATCACTTCGAACAATATCTACAAAAAAAGGAAAGAGTAGGGAGCAAAAACAGTCTAAGAAACATATACACATAAAAGTGTCATTTGATCCCAAAATAATAATATATACTACCAACACTTTCACCAAACTAAATAGACACAGAAATGATTACCCTAAGGAATTCCCCAACTCTGTGGTACATCCTATAAGTTCCTCTGTTTACCTCCAACTTCTTTGGAGATTTCCTTTTTTTTTAAGTGCTCTCTCTTTGCCCCTCCCCTCTCTCTTCTCTCTTTCTCTCTCTCTCATCATAAAGTGTTCAACTCATACATTCTCTGACTTAGCTTAATCTCTACCGGACTTATTTACCTCTTAAGGGTATTTTCTTAACTACTTTTGCCATTTTCCATAGAGAAAAATAATATAACTTTGAATACTAGGGACTATGAAGGTTATTTCCTCTACCTCCTGCCTGAGAACCTGGCTAGCTTCAGATATGTATATGGATATTCGGCCTGTTTTCAAGTTTATCTCCCATCCAGATCTCTCATGTCCAAGGGAGGGCTGCTACTCTGAGAGTTATCCACTCAGGGTTTCTCCTGCTCTTGTTCATATACTACTGGAGAAAGGGCTTTGTTCTTTCAGTATGGGACGATTTTGTGAATCACTGAAGCGAGCAAGAAGAGGTACAGTGTACAAACACTTTGCAGTCTGCCACTTCCCTACTTACTTTCACACTGGTAGCAAGCTGTTTTTTTATACTTCTATAGAACGTTCAGGTCTTGCATAGTTAGCAAAAGAATTTTAGACAAAAGAGCAACAAAAATAAATAACTGTTCTGACACCATTGAAGTCTATGATTTAGGAGGGAAAAACTAACGTCTACATTAAGTGTATTGATAGAAAACAGTCAGCTAAATAAGTTATATACAGTAACACCAAAAAGAAAATGTGGAATGTGGCACGAAGGAACCCTATACAGAGAAGAAGAGAGAAAAGCACAATGATAAGGAGAAGGAAAGGAGTAAATCTCACCAGGAGAGTAAACAAGCAAAATGAATTAGGGAAGAATGAAGTATTAACAATTCAGCAAATCATCAAATATCTAAGACAAATAAAAGAGAGGCAGGAATATAGATTGTCCCAAATAAGCTAAGGTAAAACAACAAAATGACAAGAATTGGCACCTGCTTCTTGTTAATAACACTAAATATCAGGAGCTGGGAAGGTGACTCAGTGGTAGAGCACTTACTTGCATGCATAAGGCCCTAGGTTCAATTCCTCAGCACCACATAAGAAATAATTTTTTTTAAAAGCCAGAAGTGGCGTTGTGGCTCAAGTGTGGTGTTGTGGCTCAAGTAGCAGAGCACTGGCCTTAAGCTAAAGAGCTGAGGGACAATGCCCAGGCCCAGATTCAGGCTCCATGACTGACTCAAAAAATAAAAAAAAAACACTAAATGTCAAGGGTATTAATTCTCTAATTAAAAGACATAAGTTGGCTGATTGGCTTTAAAACACACACACACACACCACAAGGTACAACTCTTTCCTCACTGAAAACACAAGCAAAGACATACCGACTGAAATGAAAGGATAAAAATGACTTCCACATAAATGAAATCTGAATGCTTCCAGAGTGATTATACTCATAACAACAAAAATTAGAATCTAGAAAGGATGTTCACTCCATAAACAGAACTATTCATCAAGATATAGTGACTGAACATATATACGAATCAAAAGATGGTGTAATTGATTTCATTTTGAAATAAAAACTATGGACATAAAAGGACAGATATGCCCCGATAATAATAATGAGTGACTCCCATTCCCCTGCCACTCTCTGTAGATCACCCACACAAAAATAGCAACTAATGAATACAGCATTAAACTTAACTAGATTTTAGGTTAGTCCATAAAACAAGACTTAATGATAAAAATGTTGACATCGTCTCTATACTATTAGATCATAATGGGATAAAACTAGAAATCAACATCAAGAGGAGCTATACAAACACATGGGGATTGAACCATATACTTTTGTATGAGTAGGTAATTGGAAAAATAAAGGGGAAAAAGGTTTTAATTCCTAGAGTCACATGAAAATGTAAACACAACAGAATAGATTCTGCACAATACAGCAAAGGTAGTTCTAGTATATAGCTAGGAACATCCACATTTTTAAAAAGTAAAAATGATCTTAAAGAAACACAACCTAATAATGCACCACAAAGTTTTAAATAAACAAGAACAAGTCAAATTCAAAACTGAAGGAAAAAGTTCATAGCTGAAAGTAATGAAATAGCATTTTAAAAAAAGATACAAAAGAGTCAATAAAACAGAGCTGATTCTTTCCAAAGATAAATAAGGTTGTTAAATCCTGAGTAGCCAAACTAATAGAAGAAAGAGAAAACCAAGTCATTAAAATTAGAGATGAAAAATAAGACATAACAAATGAAACAACTGAACTCCAGAGGATTACTAGGACATTTTGAAATTTTTATATTCTAGTAAATTGAAAATCTAGATGAAATAAATTTCTAGACATATGTGATCTACTAAAGAAAAACTCCAGGAATGGATAGATTCCTTGCTAAATCTAGCAGACCTTTACAGAAGAGCTAATCAATGACCCTCATGAAATCCAAAGGAACATAATGGTTTCAAAGCCAGTCCAGAATGCCACCTTGAAACCCGAATAAAGACACAATAAAGGAAGAAAATAATGGACTAATTTTCTTGATGATCATAAACACAAAACAAATCCCCAATAAAAATCTTTGAGAGAAAAATCCAACAATACATTCAAAGATCATGACCAAGTTAATTTTATTCCACAGGTGCAAGAACCGTGTAATGTATGCAAATCAATAAAGTTAATGCAGCACATTAACATAATCAAGGATAAATATCAAAGAAATAGAGCGCTTGCCTTGCATGCATGAGGCCCGAGTTCAATTCCTCAGCACCACATAAGCAAAAAAAAAAAGCCAGAAGTGGTGCAGTGGCTCAAGTGATAGAGCCACCAGTGGCTCACACCTGTAATCCTAGCTACTCAGAGGCTAAGATCTGAGGATCATGGTTCAAAGCTGGGGCAGGAAAGTCCGTGAGATTCTTATCTCCAATTAACCACCAGAAAACCAGAAGTGACTCTGTGGCTCAAGTGGTAGATCTGAGTGTTCACCTTGAGCTGAAGAGCTCAGGAACAGCGCCCAGGCCCAGAGTTCAGGCCCCACAACCGACATAAAAAAAATTAAAGAAATTTAAATCAAAACTACACTGAGATTCTCACCATAATCATACTGGCTATCATCAAGGAAACAAATGACAAATGTTGGCAAAACTGCAGGGAAAAATAGACCACCCCTTATACTCTACTAATCGTTATCTAAATTAGTATAGCCACTGTTGAAATAGGTATGAACAGTCCACAAAAAATAAAAATAGAATTTCTAGGTGATTCAGCCGTAATACTTCTGGGTATGTCTAAAAGAAGCAAAGTCATTTTACTACAGAGGTACTTCATTTCTGTGTTTATCGAGGCATTATTCACAATAGCCAAATTATTAATTTAGGACAAATAATCAGGCCAGTTCCACATCAAAGGATAAATTGGATAAACAAAAGATGGTGTAAAATACACGATCAAGTTTTACTCAACCATTTCCTTCTACAGGTTTTAGAAGTTTTATGATTTACTTTTAGACATTTGATCATTTCTAGGTTAGTTTGTGTATAAGTGCACTAGGTAGATCCCAAAGTTTATATATATTTTTTTATTTTATTTTATTTTTTGCTTTTTGTTAAGTCATGGGGCTTGAACTCTGGGCCTTGGCACTGTCCCTCAGCTCTTCAGCTCAAGGAGAGTGCTCTACCACTTGAGCCACTTCCAGTTTTCTTGTGGTTTATTGGAGATAAGAGTCTCACAGATTTTCCTGCCTGGGCTGGCTTTAAACCATGATCCTCAGATCTTACCCTTGTGAGTAGCTAGGATTTCAGGTGTGAGCCACAGGTACCCAGCCCAAAGTTTATCTTTTCACATAAAAACTTTCAGTCATTCCAGAATCATTTATTGAAGATTATGCTTTCTCTGTTGAGGTGACTGTATCAGCTTTGTTAGAACTCAATTTGACATTATTTATGTGGATCTAATTCTGATTCCTAATTGTATTTCACAGAAGCATTTTCTTTTCCTTTGATTACTACCATATTTCCTAGTTTACAATAGCTTCATACCACTCTGAAATCAGGTTCCAGTCAGGTGTACTGCTGGCTCAAGAAAAGTCTTGCTTGAAGGCCAGGCTAGAATACATAGTGAAATTCCAGCTCAAAATAAATAAATAAATAAAAATAAATCACCTGCTGACTTTATTTAAATGTTATTCTGCTTTTTCTTTCTTTTTTTTTTTGGGGGGGGGGTAGAGTCCAGTCGTGGGGCCTGAAATCTGGGCCTGGGTGCTGTCCCTCAGCTCTTCAGCTCAAGGCTAGTGCTCTACCACTGGAGCCACAGCACCACTTCTGGCTTTTTTCTTTTTGCTTATGTGGTGCTGAGGAATCGAACCCAGGGCCTCATGCATGCAAGGCAAGCGCTCTACCACTGAGCCACCTTCCCAGCCCCTCTGCTTTTTCTAAAAGCTTTCCCTATTCTGGTTCACCCACACATATGCATATATATATATATATATATATATCTGATATATGTGTGTATATGTAGATATCTGTCTGTCTATCTAGAAAGAAAGAGAGGGAAAGAGACAGAGACAGAGAGAGACATAGTTTATAGAAAAGTCTTTATGAATTTAACTGGGATTGAGTTGAATCTATAGATCATACCAGGAAGAATTAATGTCTTAATAATGCTGAGTTTTCTAATTCATGAACTCATTTTATTTCTCTCCATTTATTCAATTTCTTTCATCTTTGTTTTGTAATTTGGGGCATAAATGTTCTGAATCCATTTTGTAAATTTCAAATGCCAGTGTTCATTATTAAGATTCATGGTCTTCCTATCCATGTCTTACAGTGAGTCTCCACATAG